CTTACCAATGGTTTTATGCCTCCAACTGACCGAAATTGCAATGTGTGTGGGAAGATTGGTCACTGGGCTAAAGAGTGTCCTTATAACAAGTCTAGACGTAAGAAAGGGGAGCAGAATAAAGCTGAAAAAGGCCAGCAGAATAACGCTGAAAAAGACCAGCAAAGCAAAACTGACAAAGGTCGGCAAAGTAAAGATGAGAAAATCCCGCCTGATAAAATCCCACCTGAGAAAATCCCGCCTGAGAAAATCCCGCAAAATATCGGCGAACAAGGCAAACAAAACAGCGTTGAGAAAGGCTCGCAAAATCAAGATAAAAATATTCCAATAAATTGGGCCGCGCGAATCCAAGCAAACAGCACTGAAAAAGCTCAGGAAAGGCAGCAAGAAGAAATGACGAAAAGCAATTTAGAAGGTAATAATGACGTAATATAGACACCACACAAAACATTAATAGCTTTAACTCGAGACTGACACTTTCAAGTTGCTATAGTTCAGTCGTCCCGACCTCTACAACCTGTGCACAGACGTTCTCTTGGGGAGAGCATCTGTGATTTGCTTTAGCATTTCTTGTGCATGTCACGAGGCTTTTCTACGGATTTGTAAAAAGCCATGTTATGGATAGTCCTTAACTAGTCTAACTTGTAAAATGTCATGTAAACAAAATGTTCACGTCGGCATGCAAAGTTACAGTAACTAAAAAATAACTAGAAATTGCAAAAATGAGCTAACAGCTTCGTTTTACTTTTGACATACAGTACAATATATTTTTATTAATAGATTAGGAAGTGCTGTTGGCATTGTATACAGCACGTACGAGTACCCGTGCCCACCACGTGGTTACAACTCCATGGGATTGGTTCTCTCAATAGCACGCTCCCGTTCTTATATCTTATTCGCTTTTCGGTGGCCTGGTGACTATAATTTCATACTGTTTAATTTTAATATGCAAAAGTTAACAACCAATGAAATGTTTTAATTCGTCACGTTTTATTTAATTAGACTTACTTAAGGTGGCTCCTTACAGTTTTTGAAATGTGACAAAATTGTGATTTAGATTCAATTTTTTGAAGAGAGGTTTCTTGTTAGAAGACAAAAATTGTACTACATATATTGAAAAATTTTCTAAGAGTTGAAAAGTGCTCACAAAAATTGACGTCATAACCGTTGCTATGGTAACAATGACGTTTCAATATGGCGGACATTTTACCTTTTAACATATTTTACTCGAAAAAAAGGCCGGTTCCCCCATTTTTTATTTCATGAAACGTTTTCATTTAGAAAAATGAATGATGTGAACAAGTTTTAAAAACTTCTGTAGATCCAAAAAATATTTATCACGAAAAATCACGTTTTTTAATTTTTTAATAATTCTGATCTACATAATTTTTTTAAACTTGTGTTCACATCATTCATTTTTCTAAATGAAAACGTTTTACGGAATAAAAAATAGGGGTAACCGGCCTTTTTTTAGTAAAATGTGTTAAAAGGTAAAATGTACGCCATATTGAAACGTCATTGTTACCATACTACCTTAAAAAATAAGCAGAAACTCGACGTTTCGAGCGAAGGCCCTTCGCCCTACTAACTCTTGACGAAGGGCCTTCGCTCGAAACGTCGAGTTTCTGCTTATTTTTTAAGGTAGTAATATAACCACTCAGCACAGCATTTTCACATTGGTACTACCCACACTGGTACAGACAATTGTTACCATAGCAACGGTAATGACGTCATTTTTGTCAGCAATTTTCAACTCTTAGAAGATTGCTCAATATATGTGGTACAATTTTTGTCTTCCCACAAGAAACCTCTCTTAAAAAAATTAAATCTAAATCACGATTTTGTCATATTTCAAAAACTGTATTGAGCCACCTTAAAGACTGCCCAGTCAGACGTCTTTCCACCAATCCGTGGAAAACCCACGAGACCTGCACAGGGTAGATGTGGACAGTGTAACCCCCAAGAGAACGTTTGGGAAACCGCTAACTCGAACCATTTTCTCGTTCGCACTCAAGCAAATTCGGGTAGGAAGTGTCTATTCATTTCACTCTATTAATACAAAGCCCATTCGAATGGCGTTCGTGACCCAACGCTTTGACACTTCAGTCTAGTGTGTTCATCAGGGGTGAAGTCGCAACGTGGCTTCTTTTGTACTCCACAGATGACATGGCAGATAATCCAACGAAACCAAATTTTAATTTTCATGTTTAGGACTAAGTAGTAAGTAGTTACCTCACCAGCGGTGCACCGATATGTAGATTAATAAGACATTTCAACGTTTAAATACAAAGAGTAAATTTGCAGTAGAGGAAATGCAAAATCATTCCATAGCCGTCATGTGGGGCTGTTACATGTAACACTGAATTAATTTAAAGAGTTTTAAATTGTTCGAAGAGCGGACTTTTCTCGAAACGTTTGTGTTTTCCTTATCTTGCTCAGGTAGTTAGACCGAAACGAATGACTTTTTCCTTTAGAATATCACTACCTACAATGACCCCTCGTGTTTGAGATGATAACGTTTCCAATGAAATATTCTTACTATATTTTTACATCCCTTTTTCATTTCATTTGAAGAAATTTCGAAAGTTGTTCAAAATCCTGTCTTGGCGGATGTAGTTGCAGTTGATTCAAGCAAGTTGGGGAATGCTCCAAATAACCAAAGACCCCCGCCTCATGTACAAGCACAACAGACTGTAGTACCACCTCCATTATTATCGCAACAAGGTCAATTCCCGCAACCACATGCCTCTATACGGCCGAATTATCTTTCAAGGACATCGAAATACCAGCCTCTATCGCCACCCATATCACCTGGTAATCAAATGTATATGATGCCTCCCATGCAACCGCCTTCACCAATGTCTAATCCACTGGCACCAAGGCCACTTTTGGGTATGTTCCCACGAACACCTTTGGCATTTCAACAATATATGAATGTTAATATGCGACCTTTCTCACCACCTCATCAACACCCCTCGCCTATCAGAACGCCAATATCACCGCTACTTAGACCACACCCTACAAATCCTATGGCTGTTAACGATCAACGAATGTTTTCCGAAATTCCCCCTCAAATGGTAACCGTACCTGGATCGCCACCCCAACCTGGAGATACGCACATTGCACAGTTATTTGGGAGTCCAAATAACCCCTTTCAATTTAACTTTTTCCCTAGAGATCACATTATATTTCTGAACAACTCTCAACAACCACTCGGGTCCCCTCCACTACTCCAGCAAGGTCCTGGTTCTCCATTCACCCGTATGCCCGTGGTTGGGTCTGCTATTTTGAACCGAAGTCCACGTGTTATTTCGTGCGAGGAATTGGAAAGAGGAGATGGTCATGTTCAACTTCCGCAGAGAGATCAACCAGATGGTGTCCCACGAACACCAACAAATGAAGCACGTTCTCTTCGTGCAACTGAGAAAGTGCCGAACACTGACATTCCACCCTCTGTATTAGAGGGTTTGCGATCACTCAACATTGATGAGGGGCATTCGTCCACTCAGAGAGCTGACCAAACCCACACTGTACCCTCTGCGCAACAGGAAGCATGCACTGGTATTGTTTCTGATGTGAAAAGAACAACCAAAGACATAACTCGTAATGAAAGTCAGGATTTCCACCCACCACCCAAAATTCAGAATGTTGCTGTTGCAGCTATGGTAAGGATGCATCTAGTTGAGATTATGCTGCCTCACATTGTGCGCAAGTACATTACATTATTTGAGAGAGTAGATACTTGCCCGACTATTATAGCGCCTTCCATAATTTTAAAATCACGGACTGGATTCAACTTTATATACTTTAAAATAATTTACCATTAACTATTATTCTAGCAGTTGGGCGAAAAACGCAAGTAACTGGAAAATATAGAAAACATTTTGATGTTTCGAACGAAAGCTCTTTGTCTGGAAGTTGCTACTCCCGTGCATATATTACATCCAGACTTGTCCGAGAAAAATATCCAAGATACATTTTGATCGGAAATTTTCAAATCTGGTCGGACGTTTGTTTATTTCATCATGACTCCTGGCGTCTATTTTTTATTTTGTGTTGATTCTCGCGTCAGAAAGTAATAACTGTATGTCAAACACTCCATACAGAGTAGTTAAATTGCTTTTAAATTTAACAATTTTGTATTTCTTATGTGGTGATCAGCCGCAGTTATTGGTTAACCCGTTCTTTTAAGAAATTTGATTGGTATTTTTGTGTGGAGAAGGTAATCGACCAATTTAGCATTTAATCATAAATACTGTAATCTGGTCAAAAAATGTCCCATGTAGCCTACGACTGTTATTTCAGGTAGCTATAGTCGTTCGAAGTATACACTTCCTTTCACATAGTTGCATTCTTAAACCAATTTCTAGCTCTAAAAGTGTTCAACACTGCCAACGTTGGAAGCACACGGCCAATAAAATGGCAGTTAGCCTTAACCATTAACATAATTTAATCTGAACTAGGTTGAAGCCGAGCAATGTGATCACCTATTTGCCGTTATTGTTCCCTTGTTTGGAATAATTGTAGCCAATGACTAAAAACTAAAGTTCAGCGGCTTCAAAATGGAGCGTCAAGAGTTATAACGACAGATACATACAACATAAGATCAAAAGATGTTCTCTGTAAATTAGGCCGGAATAATCTCGAAGAAAGGCGTCATTCTCAAACTATTTCCTATGTTAATAAAGCTCGCCCGAAAAATTGCCCGGAAGGAATAACTGAAATGTTTCGGTTTTCCTACAATGATAACCATAATTTAAGAAGTAACAACTTTTAATGCTGAGGTTGGCTAAACCAAAAACTAATGCAATTAAAAAATCGTTTAGTAATATGCCGCCACCAACATCTGGAACTGACAAAGTATTCCAGAAAGAATTAAAATAATTAAATTAATTCATGAATTGATATAGCGGGTTATAGCGTATTGATATTATTGTAATTTTAGCGTAATCACACGGCCTTTTGAAAAGCAGCATTTTATTTTTCTTAATTTATTGTTGCATATATATATATATATATATATATATATATATATATATATATATATATATATATATATATATATATATATATATATATATATATATATATTAATACTTATAATGTTTTTGTTGTATCTGAGTTGATGCCGTCGAGGCGATCATCAGTCGTCTATATCTATGTACTGGATCGCGAATGGTTTGATTGTTTTATAATATAGTCGGCCATTTTGAATTTTTGGTTAATTATCTTCGTACAATACTTGAAATTTGTTCGCAACGTCCGCTTGGCCTTGAAAATTTGAAATACTTTTAACTTTTGTTTTACAACACGAAGACGAAGTGAAAGAAATGATTTTAGAACCGGTATATCTCACAGAAAAGCTCAGATATATTATACAGATGTTTGGTAGAATAGTAAGTGCTTGTTGACTGTACATTCGTTTGTCTTTCGTTGCAAACTTTTCTGAACAATTTATATTCTCAATGAACATGTTTTTTTCGCTTGTACTATTATCTTTCTCAAAGCGAATATTTTCCTTTTTTCTGCTTCGCAAAACTCGTGTAGTTTTTGGACCGCCATCTTGTTTTTCGCTACTCGCTGTATATGAGCTGATATACGGCGAGTAATTCAACCAATCAGATTGCAGAACAGCTCATATACGGTGAATGACTATATTATAAATATATATATATATATATATATATATATATATATATATATATATATATATATATATATATATATATATATATATATATATACACTGGATCCAGAAAAGTTTGACCTTCGAATATATATATATGTCGGCCATTTTGAATTTTCTTGGGTTAATTATACGCGAACGCATACATCAAATGTCGCTCGCAACGTATTGTATATTGCAATATTATTCCAACAGCTCAAATGAATAAAAGAATCATTGATTGATGTCTTTGCACATAATCATAATGGCTAGTAGGAAATGAACATTTGGAAATGAACATAATGGCTAGTAGGAAATGAACGTTTCTGCTTCGCCAGGTCACGAATGCTGCGTGTGCTGAGTTTCAGGGGATGAAATATCGAATGACTATCGATTCCGCTAAAATTTCCGTTGGCAAAATATAATAGAGAGTTCGGCAAATACAAGGGCAACCGCAACGGCAATATGGTCATTAACAATAGCATTAATCCTCGAAGACAAAGGCGAATGTATAAATTACATGGTCTTAAGCGTTGTGCAATGCGTAATGTTGTTGAAACTAATACGTGATTTGCATCATTTTCACGGTGCATGACTACGGCAACAATTCATTCGTTCGATGTTATTTGAGAGTTTTATTGAATTCGCGGACTATTTTTATTTAAGGGTACGTTTGAAAGAAACAGGAATACTTAATGAGGCAAATTAAGTGTAGTAACGTATACTTCGGCTCAAATACAACAATATAAACAATTATATTTTCCCCGTTGCAGTTGTCGTTGCCGTTCTAGGTTGCCAAACTCTTTAATATAATAATTCTGGACGTAGGTTACAGCTATAAAATAAGCACAAGTGAATACGAAAGAATAAACAAAGAAATTCATCGAGGCATGCTAATAAGCGTCTAAATCTCTAAGGATGCAAAAGAATAAATTACGACATGCCAAAAAGATCAGGTTCCAAATTGTGACAAGAGTTAATTAGCTAACAACCCTCAAATGTTCATTAGATAGCTGCTACAAATATGTGTAAGAACTTCAAGCAATGATCTTCTACTTATTTGAGCTGTTGGAATATTGCAATATACAGTACGTTGCGAGCGACATTTGATGTATGCGTTCGCGTATAATTAACCCAAGAAAATTCAAAATGGCCGACATATATATATATATTCGAAGGTCAAACTTTTCTGGATCCAGTGTATATATATATATATATATATATATATATATATATATATATATATATATATATATATATATATATATATATTATATATATATATATATATATATATATATAATAATAATAATAATAATAATAATAATAATAATAATAATAATAATAATAATAATAAACATTTATATAGCGCACAAACCAAGACTGTTCTAGGCGCTTATTATTATATATATATATATATAATAATAATAATAATAATAAAAAACATTTATATAGCGCACAAACCAAGACTGTTCTAGACTGTTCTATATATATATATATATATATATATATATATATATATATATATATATATATATATATATATATATATATATATATATATATATATATATATTAAATTAATGTTGATATTAAATTCTTTATGAAATATGCTGCCAGTAGCTTTGCACATCTGCAATGTCAATTGATGTTTCCAGACATGATGTTATATAGGTTAGGATTATCATGTTATAGTTATCTTCATATAGTCTAGGACCTGTATATGAGTTTGTATGCGATTCATTTAGGACAGGTAATCTCAACTGTTTTAGGGTAAAATGACCATGGCGGTCAACATGGCATATGTGCGAAAACCTGAATCCGGGGCGAAAGTCCTGAAAATGACCCGCCCTGAAATGGCAGTGTTGACATAGCTCTAACTTCAGAAAAGGAAAAGCGATAGCCTTTCTGAAGTGCTTATAGTGTTTAGAAGGGTTGCTTTTAGGGGTGGTCATTGGAAGGAAAAATTTGTCGAAGTATAATATTTTACCAGAAAATGACTATGCACCACCCAGGTAAATTGCTGATTATGCACAAAATAACTAATATGCCTGGCAGAAATGAAATATTCTTATTTCCTAAAAAAAATTATCACGGGGTGAAAAACTATGCTTAATTTCATATAAATATTGTTGATTTCATAAGGATTGTCATTGTTTT